AGGTATACCTATGATAAAAATTACAGGCCTCTCTCATCTTTTTAAGTGGGAGAACTTGCACAATTGGTGGCTAAATACTTTTTTGCCCCACTGTATATTAATTTAAGTGCAAACTAGCCTGAAACTAAAAAAGAATACATTTGCATTAAATGAAAATTTTTAGCTTAATTTTTTTTAAACAATGGTTGGGCAATATATCAAAAATATCTACTATTGAAACAGTTACCTAGCCCTGCAGATGGCCTGTATATATGTTTATTAAGTGTATGTGTGTCTATCTTTATTAGATTTGCAGTGGGTCTGGAATAGTAGATCTACGAACAGGAAGTGGTGTGACTGATACAGGCCGAACAGCTCTTGATAACAAAACTTCGTTACTTAACACTATGCCTCCTCATTCCTCCCCACGGTCACGTGATTATAATCCATACAATTATTCTGATAGCGTTGGTTCTTTTAATAAATCAGCTTTAAAAGAGGCTATGTTTGATGACGATGCAGATCAGTTTCCTGATGGTAAGTCTGTCACAAACAGAATTGGGGAATGGGTATATTGGAAGGAACATTACAGACAAATGTAAATAGAATTGTTATCTGAACTAAGTGACATGGAAGAAAAATATCTTGGGGAAAAAAGTTGTTTCCTGATGTCTTGAGTTATGATGTATTGCATGAAAATCTGATATTCAGAAAACAAAAAGCTTTATTATAAAAACTAAATGTCATAACATTGATATGCATCTTTCTTAGAACTTTGTTGCCCGATTTGTTCCCATAGGTTATTTTTATAATGGTAGTACAGCAAAAGAAATAGTACTGAGCAGAATTTAATGGAATACATACATAAGGAAAAAAAGTGTTTTCCAGTAAAAGATATTTGAATGTTCTTATTTTCTTTTCCAAAATGAAATTTAATGCAGAAATAGGTTGGAGAAGATTTATTAAATAATAAAAGGTAAATCTGACATTATTGAAAAATAATCTAGCATATCTATCCTTATTCTATATTGAATATAAAAGGCATTATGGTTTTAGAAATAAATAAATCAAACAGCCACCTGAATATTGTTGATCTCCAGTCTCTTCAGTGCATGTTATGCATAGTCAGTGTTTGTTTAGATAACTTTCATATGGACAAAATGGGTATGGCCAACAGACCAATCTAATATATGTTATTAGGTTTTGATTAAAATATAAAGTCTCTTTCAAGTTACACTTGACTCCTGATGACCCCATAGACACCTCCATGTAGCTTTCTTTGTATCAGAATAGATGTGGTCTGATACTACCTTTTTCTGAGATATTTTTCAGTTTCCTAGTCTAGCCTACAGTCCTTGTATTCTCTAATGGTCTCCCATCCAATTATAACCATGCCTGATCTTGTTTAGCTTTCAAACCTTGAAATGGTCCGCCATTTATGCATTTGACAAGGGTAGCCATGTTGTTGGCTGCATTTGCCTTCTCAAGAAAGTGGTCCACAAACTTTAACAGTAGGACATCTTATGGTGGTTTTCATATTCTTCTTATGCATGCATGTAGATTTTGCTTTTAGGGGTTAAGGTTCATCTTTTTTCTAAAGATAATACAGTATTTCTTTCAATATACAATAGGATACCTTATCCTAGGCAACCTAGGGAGAAAACATGGCATTTTTTTGGTGTCTTTAAAATTTCTCTTAAGAAAAAGATTAGAAAGACTCTAAACCAGTGGCTCTTAAACTGGGGTGATTACCCTCAAGGGGTAATTTGGGTATATCCTAGGGGTAATGGAACAATTTGTAATTTCTTGTTTGTGAGTCAAGGATCCTATTTGGGACTGCTGCTGCTGAGATACTTGTGTAAAATAACAGTCTGATCTTTTGGAGGGGGGCATTAATAACATTATTTGAGACAGGGAAAGGAGTAATTGGGTCAAAAAAATTAAGAATTACTGTTATAAACCTTCCATAGCTAAGGGTCTGAAGGTGATCACTGCAGAAACTTCATTTAAATAGACTGTCATCTAGAGAAATACTTGCTCGTTCTATTAGAGAAGCATCGACATCTTGATAATTCCATTTAAAAGTGTGAGTGAGAGAAGTGTAAACTTTCACAACATGCAAGAGAATCAATGTACTTTCAATATTTAAAAGTAGGGAGAATGATTAATGCTAATATTCTTGTGTTTGTTCACATTCTGGCTCATTCCTTGGGGGGCGTTTGTTTGTTTTTGGAATTATTGCTTTGCGGTGGAGAATCATAGGAGCTTATTCCTTTTCTCCCCACTGATTGGGCCTTAAGTGAGTCTCTTCATTAATAACACTCTCTAGGACGAGATGTTCTTCTTAATCTAGTTCTTGGTGCTTTTTTTTTTTTCCCCAAAAAGTCTGACTCCCAGTGGGTGGTAAAGAGAGCACCTTTGTGTGTAATAGGAGATTTTAATGATAAATGTCATCTTTCAATTACCACATTTTATAACAAAATAAAATGAAACATGATACCTTATCAGGGTCCTGTTCCCTCCCAGAAGATTTTTTTTTATCTATTGTTTCATAAGTATCAAATCATATATCTTTACGTGTAAGGTAAGAAGAATGGTTAATATTTTATTAATTAAATAATTTTACTTTTTCTTTTGGCACAGAACCTTCCCTAGACCATTCTGATCTAGTTGCAGAATTGCTAAAGGAATTATCAAATCATAATGAGAGAGCTGAAGAACGGAAAGCTGCTCTTTATGAGCTAATGAAATTGACTCAGGAGGAGTCTTTTGGTGTTTGGGATGAGCACTTCAAAACAATTCTTCTTTTGTTACTTGAAACTCTTGGAGACAAAGAGGTAATGGCTAAAGTGGAGAAAAAAAACAATATTATGTAATTGTTTTATTTGCCTGGATGTTGAACTTGCTGCTGTTGTAATTATTAGATTTATATCCTGCCTTTATTTTTGCACAACTCAAGGTGGCATACATAATGCTCTGATCTTCTGTTTTCCCCACAACAACAACACTGTGAGGTTGGTTGGGTTGAGAGAGAAAGGCTGACCCAAAATCACCCATTTGGCTTTCATAACTGTGGAAAGACTAAAACTCAGAATCTCCTGGTTTCTAGTCTAACCACTACATCAGACTGGCTCTCTTGAATGTTCCTCTTGAATATGTAATATGTCAAGATTAGTAACTTTAGAAATGGAAGGAAAGCAGGTGCACGTTGCTTTCTTGATAAAAACCCAATATACATATGAACATTAGATTTCCATCTTAGTTAAATAGTCAGTAGAATAATCTTTTCAGTGTCTCAGTCCCATGAAAGGAAAGTACAATTGTACCTCAGTTCACGAACTTAATTTGTTCCACGATTCTAGTCGCCAACCGAATTGGTCGCCAACCGAATCAAATTTCCCCATAAGGTTCAATGTAAATAA